AATAATAATAATAATAATAATAATAATAATAATAATAATAATAATAACAATAATAACAATAAACAACTAAATTATTATTACTATAATAATACAACAGAAACCCAGGACTTTTGCAAAAACAACTGCAAGTCTTGATCAGACACTAAATACAAGGGCCTGCAGCATGTCACACTACACAGCACAGAAGCCATCAAAGCTTACAGACAGGAAGTCCTGGTTGTCCCTCAAAGTCACAGGTAAGACACCCTAGACTTCAGGAAGAACAGTGAGTACAGTAAACTGAGACACCTAACAGGATAAAAATCTGTTCTTAATAGCATTTAAAAAGTGAAACTTTGTCAAGTACCAGATTATTAATACATTATTTTAAAAACTCACCAATGATGGGAGGGAAAGCAACCAATCATTCATACCTCATCTCAAAAGTTAATAAACCATTAAAGTAGCCTCTTTTTAGAAACATACCTTATATCTCTTTAACTTTTGTACTTCTTCTTCAATAAGCATCTGGTTTCTGGCAACTTCTGACTGAATAGCACTTAACATAGTACTACCCTGATCTGTATCCATAGGCTCCTCCTTAGGGAAAAAAAAAAGAAACAGTACCCTAATGACTGTGGCTTAAGTCCTTACATCATTTAAATGATTAATATAATACAATGATTATCAAATTTCAATTTAATGTTGTCAAGAATACCAGCAAGAATAAAAGCCTTAAATACACTTTCCATATTTCTATGTTCTATAATAATACAAGACTTTTTCACCTACTACCAATATTATAACGTACTATATTGCTACAATCTATTAAATAACAGAACAAATTTGCTTAAACAGTCTTTAAATGTGATCAAAGGACTTTTTAAAAGATTCTCTACCATTAGCTCTTTTCCAACCATATTTATAGCAGTAGTCATTAAGATTAGTAAAAATTACATGTACATTTACATATGCCTAATTAACTCCTACCAATATATATATATAATGAAATAAGAGTAAGTAGCTAATATTATTTACTAATAACAATTAGCACCTGTTATGTTAATCTTTGTTATGTAAATTATGTAAATTTAATTCTCGTGACAATATTTTTGGTGAACACTATAATCTTCATGCCACATTAAGAAACTGAGAAAAATATTAATTCGAAAGTATAAGTTACATAAATTCAGAATATTTTCCTTTAACCTCTGAAAAAGAAAATCAAAGTATTTTTCCTCTGAGAGGATACAATTCCTATGCTAAAATTTTATACTTAAAGGCCACAGAGAATGCAAAGACTCAATAGGCAAAAGTGTTTCCTGTTCAAGCTTGATGACCTGAGTTCAGAAACCACAGATAAACACACGCCTATAACACTGATGCTATCAGGTGTCAAAAACAGGAAGATTGTTGAGACTTGCCGGCCACTAGCCTAGGTCCAAGTTTAGTGAGTGACCCTGTCTCAAAAACATAATCCAGAGCATGACAGAGCAGGACATTAGATATCCTCCTCCAGTTTCCACACATACCCGCCCCTCCTGCCAGCACCCCAATCCGCACATACATCAGCCAACGGTGCGTGAATGTATATATATATAAATATATACATATATATATATATAGCCACAAACCTCTGCAAGTTGTCTTTGTAACTCAGCTATCTTCTGCTCATATATCATTTTTCTGTCGGATACAATGGCCATTAAATTAAATCGAATTTCTCCTTCACTATACCTACAAAAGAAAGTTTACAAAATAATAAAAATTATAAAATTATTGGTATTAAGACAATTCATTGAAATTACTAAATAATGGAGTAAATAAAACTAGCAGTAGGCAAACAAAAAAGGCTGATGTTTTATTAAAGTTTTGTATATGAAAGAGTATAATGTAGCAAAAGATTATCTAAATTTCATCATTGCAAGTATTTTTCACTGTTCTATATTACTGTGACTTTCACTTAGAATACACTAGAAAATAACATGTTTTTATCACTCCTCCTTATGTTATAAGAAACAAAACAATTATCATTTATGATCTCAGAGAAAAGAAATAAACCAAGACTTTACATTTGTTATAGTCTACTGGTGATACTAAACAGTTTTCTCGAAGTCATTTTTGTAGTTTCTATTGTTAATATGTTTCAAGCTTTATGACTTCTAAGTTAATATTAAATATTTATTTTCATATATAATTATATCATGTAGCAAACTTACTAATCTGATACCAATAAAAAGCTCATGACAGTAAGAACCGCCTTAAGATTATGTAAGAAATTATCTATAATATATAAAGAACACTTAATCAAGATAATAATATACTATAAAAACATAAGCCCATATTTGAATTAGTTCAAGACTATAACACACTTCAAGAGTCTTATAATTCTCGTCATCAGAAAGAACATGGACCAATATAACTAATGCTTTGAATTATATTAAAATGTTTTAAAATTTCTAGATTTTTTTTTTAAATTGAAAGAGTTTCACGTTCCTAATCTTCCTGTCAAGTACAACTGAAATTGGTAGAAAAATACATTAAAAGAAGAAAGAAAAATCAAAGGCAGAAAGAAAACAAACAACCGTGGGCAACAAAGGGATCCTTGTGACAGCGTTCTCAACACTGAAGGACAACCTGTTGTGTGGGTCTACCAGTGGAGTCCCAGCAAACAATTCCTGGTGCCCAGATAGATCTGAATACAGGACAACAGGCCTGTAGGCCACTGAGGTATTCAGGGCACCCACACCACCTCCGGTGTTTAAGCTCCACCCTTCCAGCCATCTACACGCTCTAGCACCCTGTCCTTCAAGGCACACTTCCACACATACGCCCATGCTTGTGAACATGCGCCTGTAACCTTCCTCCCTTAGCTACAGCAGAAAACACGAACATCTACACTCTACTGGTGGACCTTTCTCATCTTCCTGAAGGATACTCCAGACACCAGAGACTGACCAACCCAGTCTGAAGTTCAGACTCCAGGAACAAACAGCAAAGGTTATGAATAAGCAGATGGCTACAGGTCGGCGTAAGAGCACATCCAACAAAAGTCAGGACATCATGGCTTAACCAGCAACAAAAATCAATGGATATTTTAATTCACTGGAAACACAGGAAAATTATCTCAAATCTATGCTTATCCAGCTATAAGATGCACATAAAGAGGAAACGAACAAAGCTCTCAAAGAAATTCAGGCAAATACAGCCATGTAGAGGCACATAAAGAGGCACAATTAGTGGCATATAGAAAAAAAAATGAACAAAAAAATTAAAGACCACCATGGAAAGACAAGAATCTACATTCAAACATATGAAGGAAATAGTGCAAGACATGAAAACAGAATTAAAATCAATAAAGAAAACACAAACAAAATCCTGGAGCTGGAGAACTTAAAAGATCAGGAACCACAAAGGTAAACATCACCAAAAGAATACAAGACATGGAAGAGAGAATCTCAGGCACTGAAAACACAGTTGCAGAAATTGATACATCTCTCAAAGAAAAAGTAAAATCAAAAAAGTTCCAAACACAAAACATCCAAGAAATCAAGGATGCCATGAAAAGACAAAATCTAAGAATAATAGGAATAGATGAAAAAGAAGATTCCAGGCTCCAAGGTCCAGAAAAATTTTTCAAGAAAATCATAGAAGAAAAATTTTCCCAACATAAAGACATGTCCATTAACATACAAGAGGCCTACAGAACACCAAATAGCTTAGACCAGAAAAGAAACTCCTCATGTTACATAATAGTCAAAACACTAAATCTACAGAGCGAGGAAAGAATATTAAAGCAGCAAGGGAAAAAGGCCAAGTAACATATAAAAGTAGACTAATAAGAATCATACCAGACTTCTCAACAGAAACTATGAAAGCCAGAAGGGCCTGGGCAGATGTCATGCAGACTCTAAGAGACCACAGATGCCAACCCAGACTACTCTACCCAGCAAAGCTTTCAATCAACATAGATGGAGAAAACAAAATATTTCATGATAAAACTAAACTTAAACAATTTCTACACAGCAACCCAGCCCTACAGAAGATACTAGAAGGAAAACTCCAATCAACAAAATCAACTACATGCAAGAAAACACAGGATATAGATAACTTTGTAACAAGAAATTCAAAGAAAACAAGCATAGAAATACAGTAACACCACCAACTTCACAATAAAAGGATCTAACTATCATTGGTCACAATTATCTATCAACATCAATGGACTCAACTCTCCAATAAAAAGACACAGAATAACAGAATGGTTGTGGAAACAGGATCTAACATTCTGCTGCATCCAAGAAACACACCTATGAAACAAAGATAAACACTACCTCAGAATAAAGGGCTGGAAAAATGTTTTTCAAGCAAATGGACCCAGAAAACAAGCTGGGTTATCTATCCTAATGTCTAATAAATAGACTTTCAACCAAAATTAATCAAAAAAGATGAGGAGGGGCACTTCATTCTCACCAAAGGAAAAATCCACCAGGAAGACATCACAATCCTGAACATCTATCTATGGCCCAAATACAAGAGCACCTGCATTTGTAAATGAAACATTATAAAAGCTTAAATCACACATCGATTCCAACACCTTAATAGTGGGAAAATTCAACACCCCACTCTCACCAAGGGACAGACCATCTAAACAGAAACTAAATAAAGCAATAATGACACTTATAGAGGTCCTAAATCAAATGGACCTGATTGATGTCTACAGAACTTTTCACCCAACCTCAAAAGAGTATAACTTCTTTTCAGCACCTCATGGAACCATCTCAAAAAGTAAGACTCAACAGACACAAGAAGATTGAAATAATCCCTTGTATCATATCAGACTACCATGGCCTAAAACTAGACCTCAACAACAGAAACAACAAAAAGCTTACATACACATGAAAACTAAACAACGTTCTACTCAATGACAGCTTGTTGAGGGAAGAATTGAAAAGAAAAATTAGAGACTTCCTAAAAATCAATGAAAATGAAGGCACAATTTACCCAAACTTATGGGACACAATGAAAGCAGTGCCTAGAGGAAAGTTCATAGCACTAAGTACCTCCAGAAAGAAGTTTGAGAGCTCTCACACAAGCAACTTAATGGCAAACCTATAAGCCCTAGAAAAAAAAGAAGCAAACACACCCAAGAGGAGTAGACAATTGAAAATAATCAAACTCAGAGCCAAAATCAATAAATTAGAAGTAAATACAACAATTCAAAGAATCAATGAGACCAAGAGCTGATTATTTGAGAAAATCAACTAGATTAGCCAAACTAAATACAAGGCAGAGAGTAACTATGCAAATCAGCAAAATCAGACACAAAAAGGGGGACATAACAGCAGACATTGAGGAAATCCAATCATTAGGTCTTACTACAAAAACCTATAAAACACAAAATTTGAAAATCTAAATGAAATGAACAATTTTCTTGATTGATTCCATTTGCCAAAATTAAATCAAGATCAGGTAAATAGATTAAATAGTCCTGTATCCCCCAAGGAAATGGAAGCTATAATCAAAAGTCTCCCTTCCCAAAAAAGCCCAGATGCAGACGGTTTCTGCACAGAATTCTACCAGACCTTTAAAGAAGAGCTAACACCAATTCTCTTCTAACTATTCCACAAAATAGAAACAGAAGGAACATTACCAATCTCATTCTATGAAGCTATAGTCACCATGATACCTTAACTACACAAAAACCCAAGGAAAAAAAGAGAACTTCAGACCTATCTCTCTTATAAACATTGATGCAAAAATATTCAATAAAATACTTGCAAACTGAATCCAAGAACACATAAAAGATATCATCTACCATGAGGTAGACTTCATCCCAGGCATGCAGGGGTGGTTCAATGTAAAGAAATCCATCAATGTACATATAAACAATCTCAAGGAGAAAAACCACACGATCATCTCCTTAGATGCTGAAAAAGCATTTGACAAAATCCAACACCCATTCATATTTAAAGTCTTGGAGAGATCAGGGATACAAGGCACATACCTGAACACAGTAAAGCCAATAAACAGCAAGCCTATGGCCAACGTCAAATTAAACAGAGAGAAACTTAAATCAATCCCACTGAAATCAGGGACAAGGCAAGGCTGCCCATTCTCTCCATGTCTCTTCAACATAGTACTTGAAGTCCTAGCTAGCGCAATAAGAAACTAAAGGAGATCAAGAGAATACAAATTGGAAAGAAAGAAGTCAAAGTATCACTATTTGAGATGATATGATAGTATACATGGTGATCCCAAAAATTCAACCAGAAAACACTGTCAGCTGATAAACACCTTCAACAAAATGGCTAGATTCAAAATTAACTCAAAAAAAAAAAAAAAAAATCAGTAGCCCTCATAGACAAAATGGCTGAGAAAGAAATTAGGGAAACTACACCCTTAACAATAGTCACTAATAATATAAAGTACCTTGGTGTGACTCTAACCAAGCAAGTGAAAAACCTGTTTGAAAAAAAAAAAAAATCAAATCTCCAAAGAAAGAAATTGAAGAAGATATCAGAAGATGGAAAGATCTCCCATGCTCATGGATAGGTAGGATTAACATAGTGAAAATGGCCATCCTGCCAAAAGCAATCTACAGATTCAATGCAATTCCCATCAAAATACCAACACAAGTCTTTACAGAATTTGATAGAACAATTCTCAATTTCATACGGGAAAACAAAAACCCAGAACTGCTAAAACAATCCTGTACAACAACAGGTCGTCTGGAATTATTTCCATCCCTAATCTCAAGCTGTACTACAGAGCAATAGTAATAAAAACTGCATGGTACTAGCATAGAAACAGAATGGTGGATCAATGGAAGTGAATAGAAGACCCAGAAATAAACCCACATGCCTATGAATACTTGATTTTTGACAAAGACACCAAAACCATACAATGAAAAAAAGACAGCATCATCAACAAACGGTGCTGGTCTAAGTGGATGCATACATGTAGAAAAATGCAAATAGATCCATATTTATCAACCTGCACAAAGCTAAAGTCCAGTGGCTCAAAGACTTCAACATAAATTTGTTAGAAGAAAAAGTCGGGAAGAGCCTTGAACTCATTGGCACAGGACACAACTTCCTGAACAGAACACCAACAGCACAGGCTCTAAGAACAACAATCAGTAAATGGAACCTCATGAAACTGAAAAGCTTCTGTAAAGCAAAGAACATTGTCATCAGAACAAAATGACTGCCTACAGACTGGGAAAGGATCTTCACCAACACTATTTGACAGAGGGCTATTATCCAGAATATATAAAGAACTCAAGAAGTTAAGAAGCAACAAAAATCAAGTAACCCATTAAAAAATGGGATACAGAGCTAAACAGAATTCTCAATAGAGGAATATCGAATGGCAGAGAAACACTTAAAAAAATGCTCAACCTCATTAGCCATCAGAGAAATGCAAATCAAAACGACCCTGAGATTTCACCTTACACCTATCAGAATGGCTAAGATCAAAAACTCAAATGACAATACATGCTGGAGAAGATGTGGAGAAAAAGGAACCCTCCTCCATGGCTGGTGGTATGTAAACTTATACATCCACTTTGGACATCAATCTGGTGCTTTCTTAGACAATTAGGAACAGTGCTACCCGAAGATCCAGCTGTACCATTCCTAAGCATATATCCAAAATATGCTCAACTATAGTATACAACAAGGACATTTGCTCAACCATGTTCGTAGCACTTTATTCGTAATAGCCAGAACCTGGAAACAACCCAGAGGTCCCTCAATGGAGGAACAGATACAGAAATTGTGGTACATTTGCACAGTGGAATACTACTCAGCAATTATAAACAAGGAAATTATGAAATTTGCAGGCAAAAGGTGGGAAAAGATCATACTGAGTGTGGCAACTCAGAAGCAGAAAGACACACATGGTATATCCTCACTTATAAGTGGAATAATAGACATATAATATAGGATAAACATACTAAAATCTGTACACCTAAAGAAGATAAGCAAGGAGGAGGACCCTGAGTAAGATGACCACTCTGCACTGAGAAAGGCAAACGGGACAGACATCGGAAAAGGAAGAAAACAAGGAACAGGACAGGAGCCTACCAGCGGCCATCTGAAAGAATCTAACCAGCAGAGTATCAAAGCAGATGTTGAGACTCATAGCCAAACTCTGGGCAAAGTACAGGGAATCTTAGGAAAGAAGGGGGAGATAGTTAAAACTTGGAAGGGACAGGAGCTCCACAAGAAGAGCAACAGAACCAAAACATCTGGGCCCAGGGATCTTTTCTGAGACTGATACTCCAAACAAGGACCATACATGGAGATAACCTAGAACCCCTGCACAGATGTAGCCCATGGCAGCTGAGTATCCAAGTGGGTTCCCCAGTAATGGGAACAGGAACTGTTTCTGACATGAATTCAGTGTGGCTGGCTCTTTGATCACCTCGCCCTGAGGGAGAAGCAGCCTTACTAGCCCACAGAGGAAGACAATTGTACCAGTCCTGATGAGACCTGATAGGTTACAGTCACAGGGAAGGAGAAGAGGGCCTTCCTTATCAGTGGACTTGGAGAGCGGAAAGGGAAGAAATGAAGGAGGGAAAGTGGGATTGGGAGGGGATGAGGGAGGGGGCTACAGCTGGGTTACAAAGTGAATAAACTGTAATTAATGAAAATAAATAAATTAAAAAAATAAAGCAGACAAGATAGGGAACAGAGACTCATGAATGGAATTTAGAGGGTTTCTTTTCTGCTTTATGTATCTCTGACTTGAAGCAAAAACAAACAATGCCTTCCCCAACTCATACATGCCAACAAAACAACAACAACAAAAAACTAGCAGAAATCTGCTCTTCATTCAAACAGGAAAAGCTGAAGGCTGGGAAACAAATAATTTCGATAACAGTCCCCATACCATATCTAAAAATGATAGAAATCCAAGACTTCCAAGCTCACTAAGTTATAATGAGATACCTGGATGAGTGACCAAAAAAGGGAGGAGAAAGCTAGGCTTTCCATGTTTGCCAGGCAGTAATAAAACACCCATTTGCAGTATCAGAAGACTGAGTGAAAAACAGAACTCTCAGTCATCTAATAGCATTTTTTTTTTCTAATCTAAATAAAACAAAAAGGGCTATACCACTAGATAGCTTCATTCGTGGCAAAGAAAATCATAAGAAATAGACATTATGTGTTGATTAAAGTCAATTCTTTCTATTAATTAGTAAGACTACATAGGAATCAAAAATTAAAGTATAATACCATTTAAAATGCCACTCAAAAATATGAAGTCATTACATACTTGAGAAAAAACAAACACAGTAGTTACATGCTTAAAACTACAACTTCTCAGCTGGGATACAAAGTAAATAAACTAATTAATATAAAAAAATAAAAATTTAATTAAAAAACTATGAATTCTGATGAAGGAAATCAAGACCTAAATAAACAAATTCACCATTATCATGGATTGAAAAGCTCAACAGAGTAGAATAAAAATTATCAAATTGTTAAAAAAAATTAAAAAAGAATCTAAGGTCTTGCAAAGAACACTTAAAATGGACAACAAAAACACAATTCATGGTGGGAAATACTGATAAATGAAACGAGCAGAATTAAAGACTTTCTTTCAATGAGTGAACGGCTTAAAAAAAAATCCAACTTCTATACTACCTCTCTATAACAATTGCACTCTTGTTGGAAATGTAGCTCAGTGGCTGGGTGCTGGCTTAGTGTGCATGAGGTCCTGAGTTGGATCCTTAACACCATAAAACAATACAACCTCTAGAGCGTTATGTTGAATAAAAAGACATAATATAAAAAGATGACAAAATGTGTGATTTCATTTGAAAATGTGAAAATATAAACCCAAGGATTAAGGTGTGGATAGAGTGAGTGAGTTCAGGGGAAGGAATTAGCAGTGGGTATAAAAGAACATGAAGGATGCTAAGGAGAAAAGGATTTTTACTGGGTCTTGGCTGTGGTAAACAGTACATATAATCTATTACTTTCTACAACTGAAAGTGTATATATAATTACTTCAAAATAAATTCATTTCAAAATCCTTAAAACCAAAACAACAGTTCACAACTATCTGTACTAATATTTAGCAGTAGTAGGCAGTTCATTTGGGGCTGGTGCTGTAGTTTAATGGTAGATCATTTGCCTAGCATTCCTGAAGCCCTAGGTTCAATGCCCTGCACTGCCAAAACAACAAAAATAAAAGCAAAAATTCTCACTTAATGGAAGTCAGTGTGTTTACTTGTCATATCACTAAATAAAATTTCTGAAAGACATATTCTGAATACATTAATTCAATCAAGAATAGGTCAGATATGTAACATATTAACATTAAAGAATTAAAATTTTTTTAAGTAAAAAAAAACCTTAAAAACCAGACATTACTGGAACATTACTTTTGAATCCTTTTCTCTATTACTGGCCTCACTGCACTAATCCAGTCATCTTGATTGCATGCACCTAGAAGGAAATGTTAAAACAGTTAAAACAAAAACAGAAAAGTCAACATTAACGTTTTAAGCAACAATATTTAAGTAAATCCAAGACTTACAAAAGTGTATGTGTGCATGATTGTGTGTGTATGTGTGAGTGTGTTAAAGGTCTCAGTAAGTAGCTCACTCTGTTTGAAAACATGCAATCCTGATGCAGCCTTCCAGAGCTCCAATTGTAGGTGTCAGCTCTTTTTAGTGTATCGTGTTACCCTTCAATTCTTATTTTCTGATAACAGAAGAATACTATCATTCGTACTGTCATATCATTTTTTTAACATCATGTCATGCTATCAAACAACAGACATGTTGGTAGACACTAAAATATTTGAGGAAGTGAGAAACAAATTAGGAAGATAACTTGCTTAAACGTGTAACAATGAGATAAAGATAACTACACTCACTCAGTGACAGAGTACTTGCCTAACACATACGTAGCCCTGGATATATTCATTCCCTCATTCTCTTTCTCTCATGCTCTCTCTCTTTCTCCCTCCCTCTCACCGTCCCTCCATCCATCCCTCCCATTACACCAATTCTTTATGCAATTTTATAGGTTATGTTTTACAGATGATGAAACTAAAGGCTTAGAAAAAAAATCTGCACAGTAGTGGTAAAATAAGGATTCAATTCTTATTGTCTGACTCTCAAAAAATATAAAATAAAAAATTGATAAGGAGTAGTAGAGAGTGAGAAAGATCAAAATACATCCTATGTGTGTATGAATAATGGATAAAAATTACTTTTTACAATTACTATATGCTAGGAAAAATTAACACAAAATTGAAAGCCACATATAATGCAAGAACATTTAGCAAAAATGTTGTAATCATCTTTTTCCCAGAAGTTACATCATAACCCCCAGCTGCGCAATGAGTATGGCCATTGTGTACTGTCTAGTACTTCCTTTATATCTGATAACTATAATGAGCAGTTTCTGATCACATAGAAGACAGAGATCAAATTAATTATCAAACTAAGGAAAAACAGCTTCTACAAAATTATTTTGACAGAATAAATATTTTAAATAGAAAGCTTCACTAGATGAAGTATTAGTTGTGTGTGGAAAATGATCAAAAATTACAAAATTATAAACAAAACAAACCTATTTATTTACTGTTGTGGTGGGGAATGAGCCTAGGTCATCACATATGGTAGGTAAGACTTCCACCACTGAGATACATTTTTTTGGCCTAATTTTATATAAAAGTTTAAATTTTTATCAAAAGTATGTGTTAGATTCAAATAAAGCAAAGGTTTCCTGGACTGAACTCTAATACAACAAAAGAAATTTAATGAAGTCACAAAAAATTACAATTCTTTTGTGAAGAGCTGAAGTAGTTCAGTGATAGAGTCCTTGCCTAACATATACTGTAGGACTCTATGTGTGCATGTGTGCTCTCTCTCCCTCTCTCTCACATACAAATTCTTGAAGCAGTTTTTAGGTTATCATAAAAATGGCTTTTCCATTAAGTCAGTTTCACACATACTCATCACTGTATTTTGCTTCCATCTGTTCTTTCCTACAATGCTCTACTCGAAGACTCCTGCCTACTTCTGGCTGATTCTTTTTCCCCACTTCTGCTTTCTGGTCACATGTACTGCCTTTAGCTCTTTTCCACCCCTCTCGTGTTTTCCATTGCAAAACTGAACATGATGTCACCTTCTGCTGTAATCCCAGCAGGAGACAGAGGCAGGAGAATCACAAATTCAAGGCCGGTTTACTTAGAAAGCCATATATCAAAATAAATAAATTTACTCATTGTAATTAAAAATAAGTGTTGAAAAAGCATATTCCCTTAGAAAACTCATAGGCCCCAAATGAACTGTGGTGTATAAGTCCTTGCTATATGTTCTTATCATTTTCACCAAGCACTCAAGACATCATATTATACTATCTCTATAAAATACTTTCTGTCCTCAAATTTTAAGCACAGCTGTACCTAAAAGAATGAAGAACATAGAATATATTTCTCCTTATACAAAGTAAAATAACCATAACAGAAAGCAAATTACCTAAATCAATTGGTCCTTCTCTTAACCCATCTAACTCATACAGTCTTCCATTAACTGGAACATAGCTGACAAAGTGAAAAGCATCTTCTTCTTTGGCTGATGTCTTTGTGTCAAATTCAAACATCTGCTGTCTACAGTAGAGAAAAAATAGTGAGAGCCAAAGAAAAAGCAAATAAAAAAAAAAACAAAAACCAGCAGATAGAACATGACCGATAGAGTGATCTTTGATCAATCGACAAACAGACACACAGACACACATACATACACACACACACACACACACACACACACACACACACACAGATCTTTACCTGGCAAAACTGTTATGCACTTGTCGAATCACATCTGAGTTGCTCAATGCCAACCCTTTCATCTAAAATAATTTGGAAAAGTAGCGTATTATAATAAGAACAATCACAAATAGGTCATTTTAAGATTAAGAAGAGTACTCACAGCTGCATCAAAACTTTGGGAGAATTCTTTAAATTCTGATAATGTCTCTCCTAAGTGGACATCTTGATGGGTACAGTTCAATAACACACTTACGATAGCCTGAGTGGCACAAGCATTATTAATTACCTATAAAATATAAAAGGAAAAGTATTAAGAATTTGTTTCTTTTTTTTTTTTTTTTTTTTTTTTTTTTTTTTTTTTTTTTGACAAAATGCCCCAAAACAGAAGTAGTCTTCAAATTCTACTTCAGATAGCACCAGCATAAGCATTTAGTTCTCATTCTGGTCTACTTTCAGAAACTTGATAAAATTCTTGTCTGGAAGATTCTAGACAAAGAAACTTAGTAACCATTAACACTGAAAACAAGTCCAGTTAAGGCAACAAGACCAATCAGCCTAACCTAAGCCAGCTGACTACAACAAAAAAATGTGTCCTTCCTAACTTCCTTCTTCCTAAACTTACTCTTATCCAATTCAACTATATTTTAGTATACATCCCAAGCTTTTTAACTCCATTAGACAGCTTTCAGAAATGCTACAATTCATTTCCACTCTCATCTGAATCCCCAATAAGGGGGTATATTGTACACTTATTTTTATTCAACCATAAGCTATCCTGTTGTCCTCATATTGTACATTCCAAAGATTACATGGATCTTATGTATACATGAGCCAAAGAAAACAGTTAGTACCTCTTTATGTACCGAAAAGTTTTCTGGGTTCTTACACATACCAATTATTTTAATCTTTTCAACAAACTTTAAAAATATTATTTTATGCTTATCGAAGCTGAGGCACAAAGAATTAAGTGGCTTCCCAAGGGAACACAGCTAACCAGGAGAGAATCTGAGTTTAGATTTTGTGTAGTGGATATCATACCAAGCTGATCCTATATATGTATGTATGTGGGCTTCTCCAAAGAGATCATAAACTGTTTTATAAAATGTTATCTTCCATACTGCTCACGACGCTTAAAATGTTAAGATCGTAGAAATGGGAAGAACTTCACAACCAACGTAAACATCAGCAACACAAGATAAAAAGAAAGGGGCTGAAGAAATGGTTCAGCAGTTTCAAGCACTTGCTACTCTTCCAGAAGACCTGAATTTGGTTCAAAGTACCTACATAGATAGGTCACAACTATAGGTAACTGCAGCTCCAGGGTATCCAATGCCTCTGGCCTCCAGTAGCACCTGAACGCATGTATACAAACATATACACTTATACATATTTTAAAACAAAATAAATATTAAAGAACAAAAACAGAAAGTTAATCAGCCTGGCATAGTATACCTGTCTTTAATCCCAGCATTCAGAAAAAGGAGGCAGGAGGATTTCTATGAGTTTAAGGCAGGCCTGGGTTGCCTTAAACCCTGTCTATAAATAAATAAATAAATAAATAAATAAATAAATAAATAGATAGATAGATAGATAGATAGATAGATAGATAGATAGATAAATAGATAAATAGATAAATAGATAAATAGATAAATAAATGGATGAATGAATGGGTGAGTAAATAAATAAATGAATGAATGAATGAATAAGTAGATGAATGAATGAGTAAATAAATAAATAAATAAATAAATAAATAAATAAATAAGTAGCCAATCCCCCAAGCCCAACCCCAAATCATAAATGAGGAAAGTTTGGCTTCTGAAAAAATACTCTTCAAAGAGATACGGGGAGATGCTCAGTGTGTGTGAACACACACAGCTCTTATAAGGACTAGGGTTAAAATCTCAAGAATCCATGTGAAAAACTGTATGTGCCTGCCAAGAGTGTATCAGGGGCAGATCCCAGAAGTTCACTGGCCAGTCGGCCTTGCGAAAAAGATGAGTTTCAGACTGACAGACCCTCTCTGAAGGCAATATGGCAGAGAGCAATAGAGAAAGATGCCTGACATCCTGCTTTAGCCTCTCTCTATATATATGTAAGGATAAATGCCTACAGACTCACTCGCACACAATATACACATACACGCATGCATGCATACACACACAGAGAGAATGAACATTAACTTTAAAATAAAAAGTAATTGGGGAGGGGCATGCATGCAGAATGGGGGGAAGGGGGACCGGGAGGGGAGGAGGGAGGGGCTTATGGGGGGATACAAAATGAATAAAGTGTAATTAATAAAAGTTAAAAAAATAATAAAAATAAAAATAAAAAGTAAGCTCAGGAGGCTGAAGAAGTAGGATCCCTTAAGCTTTCAACACAGTGAGATCATATCTTAAAAATACAGACCCAAACTAAGTATAGAGATAAACATGCTGCTCATGAAGAAACTTGGGGGAAGGAGGAGTCACAAAGAAACAAGAACAACAGAAAACCAAACTAATATAAACAATTTTAGCTGACATATCAGAGGTCCTTTTCCAAATATAATTTTTTTTTTACATAGCCTTGAAAATTTGGACAGACTAAATAAAGCAAGCAGAATGAAATTCTGAAAAGAAACAAATTACAATGATATATTTAAAAACTAAAGAGCATTTTTAGTTGTATGAAATGGTTGTAATCATAAGGGTCAATTACTAACTTATAAATCAATGATCTTAAAGATTTCCTAAAAGATTTTTCATAGAGAAACTAAATAATAAAAAGTTGAAATTAAAGAAAAAACTAAAGAGACTGAATATAAAGATAAGATCAACTAGGCTGTTATCCTAACCCAGAATATTAGTGTAGTAAATAAGTATGCAAGTAAAATATATAAGTATGCAAGTAAAAATCTGGAATTCAATAATATGCTTAAAGTACAAAATAAGAAAGTGCTAATGATCATATGAAATAACATTAAATTTTTATGTCAAAATTGAGAAATTCTAGGGAAATCTCAAAAAGAAATAATCTGCATTTTTAATTAACCATACAGAAAAGTTTACAATATTCTCACAAATGCAAAGCCAAAATTACAGAGCAAATCTACCAAAATTTGAAGAAAAAAAAAATCATCTACTTTATTGGTTTTTTATCTTTTTTATTGTTTATTATTATTAGTTACGTTTTATTAACTCTGCATCCCAGCTGTATCCCGCTCCCTTATTCCCTCCCAACCCCACCCTCCCTCCCTCAGCTTCTCCCTGCCCCTTTCCAAGTCCACAGAATGGGGAGGACCTCCTCCTCTTTCGTCTGGCCCTGTTTTATCAGGTATCTTCAGGGCTGGCTGCAAAGTCCTCCTCTGTGGCCTAGCAGGACTGCTGCTCTCTTGGGGGGTGGGGAGTCAAAGAGCCTGTCATTGAGTTCCTGTCAGAAATAGTCCCTTTTCCCCTTACGATGGGAAACCAATTGGTTACTGAGCTACCACGAGCTTCGTCCGAGTAAAGGTTCTAGGTTATATACATACATGGTCCTTGGTTGGAGAAACAATTTCAGAAAAAAACCCTGTGCCCAGATATATTTGGTCCTTGTGGGGCTCCTATCCTTTCCCTGTCATACTAACTCCCCTTCTGCCAAAGGTTTGGTTCACTATGCCACACACACACACACACACACACACACACACACACACACACACACTAATAACCAAGATAATACACTCCAACTTATTTCATGGAACTAGCATGGCCCTAATACTAAAATTAATCCCAGCCAAAGCCATTATGAAAAATTAAGGCACATATTATTAATAGTGATCCAAAAACCTATTACTACACACTACTATAGTATTTAATTTAATCATAAAAAGACACCACATTGTGGCCAACTGATCAATACAGATATAGAAAGATAAAAGATAAGTGTCATCAACATTCGCTATAGTAATCTATTAAATAAAGAATATTAAACATGATCATCTAAACAGAAACATAAGGGAGTACTTCATAAAAAGTACAGTATCGTTTCATAATAAATGCAATAATTAATGGCAATACTTCCATATCTAGAAAACATTACAGAAAAGGCAGAGTCAATATACTAAATAGACTAAGAATAAAAGTAGTCCTTTTAACATCTTGAATGATTTACTGGAGGTAAATGAAGCCCAAAGGCTTAGAAAAAAAATAAAATTAAACTCCCATTTGTGGATGACATAATCATTTATTTGGACATAGGAACAATTACAGCAAGCATGTTTTTAGAAAAGAGCAAGAAAAGAGACCTATAATTATTATTAGGTACTGAAATTTATGAAGCTAAAAATAGTAAGATAGTATATAATGGACAGAGACAGATACTTCAGTCAATGGATTAAAGTCTAAGCAACACATATATCAATATAGACAGCTATTCCTCAAAATAAACCTGAAAGAAAATAAAAAGATAGATGACAAATTGGAGAAATAATACAAAGATTATATAAGGAAATGACAAGAAAAAAAGAACAGGTTTTTTTTTTCCACCATATAGGTTCTAGGAATTGAACTCAGAATGTGAGGTTTGGTAGCAAGTGCTTTCACCTGCTAAGCCATCCTGTCAGCCCCTAGCTTTCAATTCGTAACTTTACTAGGACTATCAGTCAGAGACACTGCTTCAGGAAATGTTTTTGACATTTTCTCCTAAATTGCACATTTATATATTACACTAAGTCATCATTTTACTTGTGCAAATCTACGAGAAACTTATACAAATAACGCAGGAGACAAGAATGTACAGAAAAGAAAACACAAATGACAATCTACAGCAAAGTACACCACAGGAAATCCATGTAGCTGATATAACACACAAAATAAATGAATTATAGTGACAACTTATACATGGAACCTAACAGTGGGTGAAAAAAAGTATCTCAAAATTACATATAGCATGATACTTTTTGTTAAGTTAAAATTTTGCATATACTTACCCTTATAAAAGTTTGCAAAATTACAAAAATAAAAATAAAAAACGAACCTCGGGAGATGGTTCAGTCAATAAAGTGTTTGCAAATTTGAGGATTTTTCAATCCCCAGACCTACAATTAAAAGGGGTATGGAGCCTGGCATAGCAGCACATATTCAGAATCTCAGTGCAAATAAATACCTGGGCTCCATGGTCAGATAGACTATTTGCTGAGTTCTGGGATAGTGAGAGATCTTTATTCAAAAAAGCATATGGTGCCTGAGGAACACCTGTGATTCACCTTTGACCTCCATATACACACAAAGAAGGACAAGGAGTGAATAACAATCAGAATTCCATATG